ATTCCTCCACAGCCAGGAATGACCCACCCAGGTCATGGGTGCCACAAACTGAGAGCTAAACTGAGGAAGCTGAAGAAAATGAGGAGGGAAATGGATAAAGGATGAAGAAAAGGAGGAGGGAAATGGATAAAGGATGAAGAAAAGGAGGAGGGAAATGGATAAAGGATGTCCTTCCTGACTTCCAGGGCATTGCCTGTGGCACAGAGCACTGCCATTAGCTGATTTCAGTTTGCAGAAGGATTACTGTGTTCCATTGTTCTTTTCAATCCTAAGATTATTCCAGTGTTTTGGGTGTTTTGCTGCAGAGAAAAATGAGGACAGTCTGTGACTTATGATTTAGAGTTGGTTTTTAGTAGGAAAGGTAATACAAGGATAATTTAATTTAATCTTGTTTTATTCCCCCACTTCTGTAATTTTTATAGCTCAGCAGTAAGTGGGGACATGAGGAGTGTTTGGGGACAGTGTGAGGAGACAGAGCTCCAGTCTGGGATGGAAATGGACGCCCCACAGCATCACTGGGACCTTGGCTGGGCTGGGATTTTGTGGGGCTCTGGGGCTGTGTCAGTCCTGGAGTACCTCAAGACTGATGGAATGCTGGAGCCTGTGTCCTGTGAGGACAGGCTGGGACACTGGGGGTGCTCACCTGGAGAGGAGAAGGCTCCAGGGAGAGCTCAGAGCCCTGCCAGGGCCTGAAGGGGCTCCAGGAGAGCTGGAGAGGGACTGGGGACAAGGATGGAGGGACAGGACACAGGGAATGGCTTTAAACTGACAGTGGGTGGATTTAGATGGGATTTTGGGAGGGATTCTTGGCTGTGAGGGTGCTGAGGCCCTAGGACAGAGATGGCCCAGAGCAGCTGTGGCTGCCCCTGGATCCCTGGCAGTGCCCAAGGCCAGGCTGGACACTGGGGCTGGGAGCACCTGGGACAGGGGAAGTGTCCCTGCCATGGCAGGGGTGGCACTGAATGATTTGACAGTCCCTTCCCACCCAAACCATTGTGGGATTCTCTGAACCATGTTATTCTGTGCCCTGTTACTGTGTGGGACCAGAACGGGCCCATCCCCAACGGGGAGGAAATTCAGCACCACATTTGACTCCTCTGTAAACCTGTGTGTAAGAGATGGATGTTGTTTATAAACCAGCCCAGGTCTGACTCCTGTCCTGCTCTGTGCTGGGGGGGCACTGCCAGCAGGGTTGGGGTGTGCATGCAGTGGGACATGTTCTGTTTTCCTTGCACTTAATCCCATTTTATCCAGAGCTACTCAGCGTTGGGTGCGTTCACCTCTTTGTTTGTCATGAGGACAAATAAATTGCTCTGCCTCACTAAAAGCTTATTAATTTTAAGTAAATGCAAATCTGGAGAGTGTCTGGGTTGTTTCAGGAGGCAGTGGCCGCTAAGCAAAGATGTCACATCACATACTCGGAGTTTATTTTGCACAGAGCTTGGAGGAACTGAAATAAAAAGCAAAAAGATGAAAACCATTCTTAACTTCTTTGCCCACAAGCCCTTGTATGATACTGTGCAAAGCAGAAAAGTTGTAGAAGTACATGGCAGATGAAAAATACTTAAGCCACACAAAAGTCACTGACAGGTAACATCTACTCATCTCACTATTTGTACAAAGTAGCTTTTATATTACTGGGGGTAAAAAAGAGAATAAAGGGCGCTGCATCAGCTTGTGGGCTGCTTGTGGATCAAAAGCATTACCTTCAGTGCAGGCTGAAAATAGAAAACAGACACAACTGTGAAGTTTTTCATGTGAAAAAGTGGGAGACGAGCTTGCGTCAGGAAGAGCTGGACAGAATTTCACTGAAATGGAAAATAAGTAGGTGAGTAAGTAGGTGCATGTGACACAAAAGATAGGAAACCTGGGTCTAATCTAACTTTCTGGTGTTGCAGATGGCCTGATTTTCTTCTCCTCTCATGACACATTACCGAAATTTCAATTCTCTGATTTCAATTATTACACTATTTATACTGCTGTAGCACCAGGAGTCCCTGTAGAGAAGAGGCCTCATTATTAATGGAACACAAACAACTCTAATGGTTCAGCTTCAAAGAAACCCTCCTGCAAGTGGGGAAGGGAGATGCAGAGTGGAAGAGAGGAAATACCAGCAGCTCTGTGTGCGTGAGGAGCTGCAGCCCTGGGAGCTGGGGGATGGTTTTGGGTGATGGAAACCAAACCCTTCCTTGGTGCAGATGCTGGGCCCATCCCACGGCTCCTCTCCTGGTGCCCCTGGGATGATGCTCTTTGGGAGGGCTGGGTTTGTGCTCAGGGATGGGTCCCAGAACCAGCAGAAGGAAGCTGGGGATGGGTTTTGTTCAGGTGCTGTGCAAGGAGTGGGTGAAGTGTCCCTGACTGGGATGGATTCCTTGGTGACCCCAGCTCAGGTGAGGGCCAAAGGCTCTCCAGGGTACCAGGACCTATCCCCCCTTTGTACCCACCTGGTTTTATCCCATTTTTTCCCAAGTTTCCTGCACTATTTCTGCCGTTTTTGTTTTTTTTTTTTCCTTTAGTCAGACTCTCTCCTTACATTTTTTGTGTTTTTTATTTTTTTCCTCCTGATGTAGAATATTCCTCTCCCCATGTCTGTGTGCCATTTCTTAGTGGCCTTTCAGATCTCTCCTACTCAGGATAAGTGTGGGTTGCTCTTCCCTGGCTATGATCCCTTATTTTCTGCCCCCTGTTCTTTGAATTAGGCTGCAGAAACCTATTTAAAGGATTTACCTATTTATCTTCCCCATCCTTTTTTTTGTGTGTATGTGCTTTTTTTTTTTAATTTAAAGACTGAGTTAGAGTTTATTTATCATCTATACAAGTTTCTTTATTTTGCAGTCTTTCAGAAATATACCCAGTCCATAAATATAATGAAATTTCATGAGAAAAACATTATTTGATATACAAAAGGCACCGTGCTGTGCTTATATCACACTGAGGGCAGCTGGGAGTTAAGCAAGTGCACAATGCATGTGCCCAAATTATCTCCAGAATGAGGCCCAAAATTGGGCTGCACTGCTTCCTCTGCCTTCCACAGGAAGCTGTGATTTTTATCACACCCAATAATTTAAATACAAACATTCAGATAAGCAGCCAAGTATCTGGCTCAGGGAAAGCAACTAGACAGAAATTGATCTCGTGTTTTATAAATGCTGTGGCTTCAGAAGATTTGCAAACCCTGAAGCCTGTCTGCTTTGTTTCCCCCCAAATAAATTATCTTTTCCAATAAAGATATAACTGCTGCCTATAAACCTGTCTTGATGTCTGTCTCCAGACTATCAACACTTCTGCACAATGAGCCTTTTCAGCAGATAAATAAGCACGTGTGGCAGATTAAATTTGCTCGTTGTAACCTTGCTTTGTTATGCACCACGAGCATCACTTCATTGGGATGGAACAGAAGAAGGAGTGGCAAAACTGAACCACACTTTGTGTGGATTTTCCTCCCTTCTCCCACTGGATTTTTATGGCTGCTGCTCTTCCAGACCAGGCTGTCTGTTTAGGGAATAGCACATCTGTGCAGAAATGCTGATCCCCTCCCTTTTTTCTGCTGTTTCGGGTAATTCTGGGAAGTTCATGCTCTGCAGAATGGTCAGGAAAGGGCCTGGAGGAGTATCAGAGAGACTTTGATGTTTGCTGATATCACCATGGCAGCTCCATGGTGTCAGGCATGGTGGAAGCCGTGCAGACAACTCATCCATGGGAGGATAAGGATCCTCCAAGGGGCTCTGAAAACATGGATCTCATTGCACTTTGAGAATGCAAATCCTACAAAATAATAGAAGGGCCTGAGTCATTTAATTTGTGTGGTTGAGGTTGCTCAAGTGGGCCAAGGAGAAAAGAGAGCAGGGCCGGAGCCAAACTTTTCTCATTTTGCTGAGATGTGCTCCATAAATTCCTGTTCTGAGCAGGGAGCTTCCTGCCTGATAATAAGAATAAAGGCTTGGAGTTCTGTCAGGCTGATGAGATGGTGTCTCATGTGCCTCCCCAGGGGACAGCCAGATCTTGGGCACGCTTTGGATCATCTCTTCTAAGGGCTGACACTGTGTCCTCCCAGCCCTCAGTCACTTGGGCTGCATTAAAAGGGTGTAAGAACTCTGTGTAGCAAACAACTTTCCTCTCTCCAATATATTTTATCTTTTTATCTTGTGAGGTAGTTTTTTTGTTTGGGGTTTTTTTTTTTTGGTTTTGTTTTGTTTTGGGTTTTATTTTGTTGTTTGTTTTTTGGAGTGTTTTATGTCAAGTGTTGTATTTTTAAAAGCACGTTGAAAAAGACCAGATTTTATTTCTGCTCACATTGGCTTAGCCATCATGATAGCACAGATGTTTTTAAGCTAATCCTAACAGTGATTAAATGGGGCTAATTCTGCTCAGAATATGCCTCCTCATCCTTCATGAGAGCATTAGGTGAGCACAGAGAGTGTGGCAAACCCCAGCAGAGTTTTGTGGCACCTGGAAGCCATCCCTGTCTTCTCTCTGATTTATTCTCAGTTATTTTTCCAGCTCGTGTCCTGTGATACTGGTTTTAGGGCTCTGCCTGGACAGGCACAATGCCATTAATGTGTTTGTGGAGAGCAGAAACATTTGATAAATACCGCATGCAAACAGCTTTTTGACCTGGTGGTATGAATGGAAGTCATCTGCCTGTGGAGGAGTAGAGTGTTATTTCAATTAGTTTATCTTCTCTTTCTCTTCCAGACCATTTTTTCCCCCCACTAATGAGACTGTGCATCCTGCACAATGATATCCTTGCATCCTGATACCTCTGCTCTTAATGTGCAGTCTTTGTCTTCTGCTGCCACCATCCAATCCCCTCCACCTCCCCCTGAACCCTCTGATTCCACAGGTTCTCTCTGAAATTCCTGTCGGTTTTGACTCTGACACTACAAGTTCCATGTTTAATCCCTTTCCTGGATTATTTCCTTTTGAATATGCTCAAACACCAAGGTTCACCTTGCCAGATGCTCTTCCCATCTAACCTGAGTGCTTCTCCCTGTCCCCAGGTGAAAATGTGGACAGCAAAGTGGAGTCCCCAAGGCTGCAGGTGTCAAAGGAGCAGCCCAAAGATTATGAGATAACAATTCCCTTCCTGTTGAATGGAGAGCAGTGGAGACCAGTGAATGGCATTTATTCAAAGGTTAGTCTTCATTTCGCCTATTTGTTTGTTCTTAGCTGTGTTACAATTTTAAAGGCTGTAGGGAGAATTTAATGCACTTTCATCCTATAGGTTATAAGAGTGTTTTTATATTGTTGTTGCCACATATCTGAAATTGCTGCTTATTTAATTTAAGAAATGGATAAGATTTTTGGTTGAAATTAATACCTTTTTCCTGCAGAGATGCATTCTTCTTTCTGATGGCAGAAATGAAAGTTTAAATTGAAATAACAGCAATTTAATTGCTTGAGATTCTGTCATGCAACAGCAAAAGGAAAACTGAGGGAAGGGCAAGCAGACCAAATACGTTTGTTTGGTAAATACAGTCTGACAGCAAGGAATTTAGGGAGCAGTGTAAATAATGTTGCTGTGCTGGCTGCAGCCTGAGGCTTTATCTGGGCTTAATTATCCCATGGGAGAACCCCAGATTCCATCTCTGGATGGACTGGGAGTGAGGGGTGACTCTCCCTTCACACTCTGCTTCCCTTTTCCTGACAAGGGCAGGATCTGCCATGGCTCTGAGGTTGTTTTCCCCTCTCGACAGGCCCTGATAAGCTTTGCTCCTTTTTTCCCCCCAGACATTTGTGAACGATGCAGGAAGCTGCACTTAGGAAAAAAAGGCTGGGTTTTGTCTCCTTCTTGAAGTATGAAGACAGTTTGTTGTTTATTATCACCAAATGTATCCTGGGAATCTCTTACCCAACCTTTTAACTCAGGTCCACTTTGATTCCACCTCACTTTTTATGTCATTCTTTAAATTATTTGGATGAGGAAGGGAAAAAGTAAAGTTTTTAAATAGTTTAAAAAAAAAGAGGGAGGAAAAAACCCAAGCAAAAACAATGCAAAAAGCCCAGAGAGCCAATTAGAAACAGCTTTTCTTGCTGGATTGGGAAAGTATTCCATGGAGAAATCCTGCTTGACTACTGCCACTGCTTGCAGGACGTGGCTTTGGATCACGTTGCTGATTGACACAAGTAGGTGTGAAAAGATATTTCCAAACAAGGGCTCTGACTTTCAAAAAAAGCTTGTCTAGATTAAAATTGTTCCTTCTTCTCCTCTGTCCCTTCCTAAATAGGAGAGAAGGGCCAGGCCCATTTCTGAATCTGTGCAGTGATGAAAGGGATATCAGAGTGGGTGTAGAATGGCTTATCTTGGAGAGATAACACAGATGGCTTGGTCCTAGATGTATGTGCAACTCTATTTTTAGATTATTTAATTAGAAACAGGCATTCTCCATATAGAGAGAGGCCTTTCAGCTACTCACTGGAGCTCTCTGAGAGAGTTACAACCCAGTATCACTCTGTGAGTAATGATAATGTGATTTATATCGTTAATTTGTTTCCCAGAATTACTTTCAGTTTAAGATGAACACTAGAAAAGATTTGTGGCTTGGTAGAAAGATCCACGTGCTGTATCAGCACTTTTTCCCCCCCTTTTGAATACTTCTTTTCCATGGAAACTTATAAATTAAATACACAAAAGTGCACATCAGGCTGTGGGAAGAACAACAGCTTCAGTGGTAGAGGAGAAGAGTAATGAATAGCTTGTCACATAAATATTGATCAAAAGCACAAAAGTTAAATACTGCTGCATTTGATGGCTAAATGGGATCTATTGTTCTTCAACTTGTTTCAAAGTGTTCCTCTCTTTTATTTTAATCGTATATGAAGTCAAAAAAAGTATGTACTTGTAAGAGGGGAATGCTATTGCAATAGGATATATGGTAAAATAAATAATGGAGTGGCTATAAAAATGCCAAGGGATTAAAGTTATTTGTGTACAGATAATTGCCTGGCAGTGATGGCCCCATTCCCCAATCCTTTCACTGTAAATACTCCTGCTTAACAATTAGTCCCTGGGAAAGCACACTCATCATTTAGTGCAGCCTTCTCTCCCATCTTGGAGATAAAACTGTCCTTTTATTTACCCCAGGAGTCGCTGCAGTGTCTGTTGGAATCTCTCACTCGGAATCTGTCAGCAATGATTATTAAGCTAATGACTTTCTCGTTGAGGGCCCATACACTGTGCAAAAAATGTGAGATAATTCACACAGTCTAATGGCACAAACACACAGAACTGCTCAGCAGCAGTGAGCAAATTCCATTTACTGAGGGAAAAAAAAAAGAAAAATTGCTTATCTCTAACCAGATTTTACTTTAATACACTTGGGATGTGCTTTTTCAAGGACATCTCTGATTTAGGTGTTTCCTATGAAAGTTTTAATTAATGAGAGGCACACCCCAATTTTAAATGCAGACATAATAATTAAATTATATTTAAAGAATCTTGGGCTCCTAAGTGTAGATTAAGTGTTTTGTGTCTGGAGAGAACTGATCAGGTCAATTTTTACTGGGCAGGGTCAATTTTTCTCTCCACCTTCCCCAGCTCAAGTCAAAACTCTGTGAAACCAAGGCCAGGATTTCATGGTGGCATCATTTCAGAAATGTTGTTGCTTTTTTCCTGTTTAAAAGATGCCCGAGCTGGTGCCGACACTTTTTGTAGAATCATAGAATCCTTTAGGCTGGAAAATACCCCCAAGGTCATCGAGTCCAGCCTTTGGGCACCACCCTTTCCAATAAACCACAGCCCTTGGTGCCACAGCCAGTCATTTCTTTAAGACTTCCAGGGATGGAGACTCCAACACTGCCCAGGGAAGCCTCATCCAATTCTTATCCACTCTTTCAGTGAAAAATTTTTTCCTAATATTCAACCTGAGCACTACTTGGGGCCTTTTCCCGGCCTCATCCAAATCTTATCCACTCTTTCAGTGAAAAATTTTTTCCTAATTTTCAACTACTTGGGGCCTTTTCCTCTTGGCCTATCAGCATCCTGGATAGGGAAGAACATTTGAAAAATAGAGTATAGATACTCAAGAGAAGCTACTATGGAAATACCTCAATTTTCCTAATTTTCAACTACTTGGGGCCTTTTCCTCTTGGCCTATCAGCATCCTGGATAGGGAAGAACACTTAAAAATAAAATATAGATACTCAAGAGGAGCTACTATGGAAATACCTCAATTGGTACAACTGTGTGATGCTGTTTGTTTAGTTGGGGTTCATTTCTCCTGGCATCTTTATTTTTGTTTTTCAATTCAGAAAATGTATCATTTTCAGTGGGAATATTTTACTGGTACCTAATTCTTCTATTAACTGGATATAATATTCACTTGTCAATGCTGAGCAGGCTGCTAAAATGAGTGGCTGCTATTTTGGGTGTCCAGTTGTTGTGTTGAGGAGAAAATGCTGCATTTGGGGCCGTGTGGCAGCGGGATCGGGCCCTCAAGGGTTGTGCAACATCACCCTGGGCTTCAAACAATAGCTGCCCATATTCCCTGCAGATGTGATTTCCTCCTTCCCTGAAATTTTGTGTGCATTACAGCATGTGTTGATAGGTCATTATACATTAGAGCTCCAGTTGTCCTTCCCCTTCTCTTTTTTCATTTGCTCAGCACTTCGTGTTCTGTGTTGATTACCACCCCCCACCTCTGCTTGCTTTAAACACACAAGGGCTGGGTTCTGTTTTTCTTAAATATTTCTAAGGTTTGAACAAAATGGTTTCATTTTATATTATTTAAGTGCAGAAAAAAACCCCTCTTTCCCCCCCCCCACATATTTCCAGCTGAATATTTTTCTTCCAAACTTGGCTCGCGATTCACAGATCAAGCCAAGTTTGATGAGAGTTTGGGTAAGTGATGTTTTAGTACACAGAACACTTTAGGGAAGATTTTTTTTTTTTTGAAGACCATCTGTTTGGCTTCAGCTTTTATCCTCACACCCTGTTAGGGACACAGAGGGCTTGGTGTGTGCCAGACCCCTGCAGCACAGGAGCTCTGGGTCAGGTAATATCAGTGGTGTTATCCAGAGCCTGCACTCATCCCTCCTTTTGGGGAGACAGGAGCCAGGCAGGAGATGTTCCACGTGGGCATTAAGGGGCTTTTGGCTCCATTTCTGTGCTTTAAAGGTCAGCACAGTGGGGAAATGCTGCCTGGCAGGGCAGGCATGGAAAAGCTGCAGTGCCCAGTGTGGATTGCCCTGGGCTGGCACTCGTGTGCCCAGAGGGACACAGATGAGTGGAGCCGGCTTTGGACCCAGGGTTTGGTCCAGATTGTAAAATGCATGAAGTTCCTGAGAAATGGGAAGTGTTTTGGGAGGGTTTGGTGTGGTCAGCTATGCAGGTAAGCCCAGAGGGCTCAGGGTGTGGCAGCAGTCACTCAGGTGTGGGGTTTTCTCTGCTCCTGGCTGTGTAGGACCTGTCATCCCATTGCTGGCACCTGCAAGGACTCAAAGAGCATCAGGACCAAGTGCTTTAAAAGATTTAATCCTCTCAAATTTCTAAAAGAACATGGACAAGTTAGGTACAACTTTCCTTTCTGGTGGATATTTTGCACATTTTCATGAGTAAGGATCATTTTTAATCCTGATCTCTATACCTGTCCAAGTGCAGTATTAACCTGTGGGTGCTCCAGTCAGGACACAGCTGCCATTCATAAAAATAAATGGGAATGCACCTGAACCTGGGCAGGTGTTTGAGCCTGGAGCTGAGTGTGGTTCCTAAAAAACCCTATGAGAAGCTGGAAAGCCCTGAGATGCTTGAACTTGATTTGAGTTTGCAAGTTGCCAGCCCAGGTTGCTTTCAAATGATGGAATTTCAAGCTGGGAATTTTGGTTTTTGATGTTAAATTTGGGGGATATGTGAATCAATGAGCAAATTTTACTGTGTGGCTTCTTTAAATAAATAACTGTGGGAAAGTAGCTGTACACAATCTACCTGTCACTGGGTTAGACCCTTAATCCACCTGGGTCATTGTGAGCCTCATGGACTTTTAAAATACTGTCACTGACCTCAATATATAAACAGAGATTGGAAAATCCACCTCTCCCCCACCTTGCAGAGAGTGGCTCCCCACACCCCAAGAGATTGGGGTTGTGTTGGAGCTGGAGACAAGCAGAAGAAAAGAAAGAAAGGTGCCCATGGTGGGC